GTCTTATTCCCCCGGAGGTGGCACAAATGCTACTGAATCGCGTGATGTTAAGAATCAATAGATAGATGACCAGACACGAACTGAGCCTTGCTCTGGCCAATACAGAACTCCCCCTTCTAACGGGAAGCAAGATTGATACCCTGATTCCCATATCAGTCGGAAAGATTTAGGTGCGGACCGGGAAGTTAGTCTAGTACCTGGGATGATCCTATATACGAAGCTGAACTTCTGACCACACATAAAAGAGAGCAGAAGAAGCGGTTGAGAAGACTTCCGCTCTCAGTCGTATTATGGCGAACATTTGGACTGAGACAGTGGAAGAGATGACTACTGATGTGTACGATCCACTCGATCATGTTGTACGGTGCGGAGATCTGGGCCGACACACTGGGGGTTAAGAAATATAGAAACTAACGTACAAAGACAGGGGGCATCGAGGATTCCCTGCGCCTATAGAACAGTCTGAGCCGAGGCTGTTCAGGTGGTGGTAGTCGTTATCCCGATAGATCTGCTCACCAGAAAACGAAAACGTGTGTACGAACGAAACTGGGACGAACAGAAACTGCGGAAGAAGAAAGAACCAGGATAATAACGGACTAGAATGAACGATGGAGGACAAGCACAACCGGCACAGGGACAAGAAATTTTATTGACGACCTGAGGCCTTGGACGGAAAGGAGATTCGGGAAAGTGAACTTTTTCCTGACCCAGTTTCTTACCGACCATGGCTACTTCAGAAAATATTTATTTGACAGAGGGTAAGTAAACGTCCCTGACTGTAAATACTGTGGACACATAAGAAACGATGCAGAGTACACATTTTTTGCGTGCAACCACTGGAACGAGGAAAGACAAAGACTGGAGACGAGACTTGGAAATATTACACCCAATAACATTGTGGCAAAAATGCTGCACGACAAAGACAGCTGAACGATAACCACAACTTACGTTGAGGATATCTTTCGAGGGAAGAAGGCAAATGGATGCCTGTATGAGGGTGGTCCGATAAGTACTTAGCCTACAAAAGAAAAACGAAAATTTTGGAAAAGTGACGTTTTATTTTTCAACATAGTCTCGTTTTAGTTCGATATATTTGGCCCAACGATGCTCCAACTTCTTTAACCCGTCTGAAAATTACGTTTCCTCGAGGTCTGACAAGTAGGCTTCCGTGGCAGCGATCACCTCCTCATTCGACTCAAATTTCTGCCCGGCGAGTGACTTTTTCAAGTTTGCAAACAAAAAGAAGTCGCACGGGGCTAAATCTGAAGAATACGGTGAATGGGACAGCAGTTCGTAGCCTAATTCGACCAATTTGGCCATGGCGACGGCGGAGGTGTGAGCCAGTGCGTTGTTATGGTGGAAGAACACTTGTTTCTTCGCCAAATGGGGCCGTTTTTTCTGCAATTCGACGTCGAATCGGTCCAATCATTCGGCATAGTACAGCCCTGTGACCGTTTCGCCCCTCTCCAGGTAATCGATGTAAATCAGACCTTGTGAATCCCAGAAAACGGTAGCCATCACCTTTCCGGCCGATGGGGCGGTCTTCGCATTCTTCGAAGCACTTTCGCCGGGTAAAGTCCACTGTTTCGACTGTTCCTTGGTCTCTGGTGTATACCAGTGGATCCATGTTTCGTCGACTATCACGAAACGACACAGAAACTCCTTCGGATTGCGCTTAAACAGCGTCAGACATTGCTCTGAAGTTGTCTCACGGTTGCGCTTGTTGTCCGGAGTGAGCAAACGCGGCACCCATCGCGCCGACAGCTTTCTCATGCCCAAAATTTCAGGCAGGACATGACCCACGCGGTCTTTTGAGATGCCTACGATCTTAGCTATCTCACGTACCTTCAATCGTCGATCTGCCAATACGAGATCGTGAATTTTTGTCACGTTATCCTCCGTGGTAGCCGTTTTCGGAGCACTTGGACGTGGCTCTTCAAAAATCGACGTGCGACCACGTTGAAACTCGTTAAACCAATTTTTGACGGTCACCATCGAAGGAGAAGAGTCACCGTACACAGTATCCAAGCGCTTTTTGATTTCGCTGCGCGATTTCCCTTCCAAAAACAAGAATCGAATCACCGACCGATACTGCTCTTTTTCCATTTTTCAAAAATCAACGGACACATTTGCTTTCACACGCTCTCAAAAATAAACTACAACTCCGATCCGGCTGAAATCTTGACAGTAACCATCGATAAGGTTGTACTACGTGATAGAATATTTCTTTTGCGAGAATGGCGCCATCGGACGGTGAGGCTAAGTACTTATCGGACCACCCTCGTAAGTCGAGTGAAAGACGAGAGCATGTGAGAGTAAATCGTATGAAAGAGCGAATAAATGTAAATAGACAAATGTAACGATACTGGACCTCACGAAAAAGAGAGAACATGACGCGGTGCTTCAGTAGAAAGTAATGCTAACGCAGTTCCCCCACTGGAGAATGAAAGATGGTAGATATAACTTTCACCTGCCTTGGCAATCAATTACCGGGCCAGGAGAAAACAGGTTTAGGCGATAAGGGGGATCGGATCTGATGTCTCGGCTATTATTGATAATGGCCCAGTCTGAGGCAGCTAACCAATCCGAAACACGGCGAGAGAGCGCGACAATGAGAGAGCACGCCCACCCACTGGCGTACTCAGTGGTGTCAGGTCTAGGAGGATTTCCCTGTTTTTTAATCACAAAAAAATAGTAATAATATTAATAATAATAATAATAATAATAATAATAATAATAATAGTGGAATAATAATACTAGCAATTCGAAATTTTCCGCAAAAAAAATCTAAGTACACATCCCCTGGTAATAAACTAATAGTAATAAAATATCTTAGCGTTATATTTACCGTAAAGATGCATTCTTCTATTCGCAATACTTCTTTCGTATTGAATAAATCAAAATACGTGGGTTTACTAACCAATTTTCAGGGTCAAATATTAAATAAAAAATTTTATCTTGGAGTGATTATTTCAGTCAGATATGCTTCCTAAAGTAGTTATTTTACCATTGACGATACCATGTATTTATCAAGTCAAATAATTAGGAAATATATAGCTAGTATATGTAATCATAAGAATCAGTTTTAGCAGAATTTATGAAAAAAGGAAAGGCGACACCTATTGGACAGATTATAGAATATTGCTTTTATTGAATAGAATGAGAAGAGGTGAGTTATTATCCAAATCTTTTTGCTTACAGTATACCCATTTTCTAATCGAAAGGTCAAATAAAAAATTTGATCTTGAAATCACTATTTATGTTACTTTGTTACTATATATGTTATTTTGCTGCATGCGGAGACTGTCTCGCTCTACTGAGAGTAGATTTTACTCGCATCATAACATCCATATTCACCCGCTGTGAAATGACCTATTACGAAACAGTTAATTCTGTATTTTGTGTGATATATTGTCCTATACTAAATATGATTTTATTCAAAATGAATAAAGGTAGAAAGTATTTTCATTCCTATTGAAAGGAAGGTGGATTTATGCCTACAAAAACAGAAACAACGTGTAAAAATAAACCTGCATTAACTGTATTTATGCTAAAGGCTATATGTTTACGGTGCAAGCAAGACTTAGTAAACACATGAGATGACACTAATTACATTAGTTTGTAAATTAGATTTAAAGTTATTTAATTAAATATATTATAAATAGAAGGCTGGTATATTCTTTTTCATATTACACATTAAATCATATAGATAGAATTCAATTGATTCATAGGTGATGACAAGTTACCTCGAAAATGGCCAAAAGTAACCATTTGCGCACTTTTACATTAGGACAATTCGGAAATCACACCCACCTAATTTGATAATTTGAACCTCAGATTTACATTCAGCATATCAAAATCTGTCAGAAAAGTATACTTTAGTTTCTGTATCTAACATTTGACCAAAATTTGTTGGCTTGTATTAATAAAAAATGAATGTTCAACGAAAATCAGTGATTACAAAATATAAGGTTCCAGAGGTTCGGACGGACCCTTCGCTAAGACATACTCTAAATTTCATTATTCTTGCTTAACATTTAGCTTTTAATGATATTGAAAATCATCCCAAGAAATTTATGATATAAAAAAAATAAATAACTAGAATATTTTTTTATTTGAGAACTTTATAGAAACAATTTTTTTCTATAGACTTATATGTGGCGTACAAATAATTGTGCAAGATTTTATTGTATACATAAGCTATGGTACACAATTACACGGTATGTATCATTGCTTATTGCTATGCTACTGTGCACAATAATTGGTACTTATGATAAAATCATGCACAATTGTCCACATGCCACATATACAAGGTAATTTCGGTAGCAAATGTAAGTTATAGGAAACTTTACTTTCTGTATATAAATCTTAATAATTTGTACCATTTTAAATAATTAAAAAATATTATCAGACAATGAAAACAAAACCTTTCATGATTTTTTACCATAAACTGATGAAACATTTATTTTCAATAAAATTATATGGTCACTTATTTCACTTAAATTATAAAGCTTCCAGTGATTCTGCGATTATGATGCTGTGATTATAGTAGGTTTGAGGTGAATGTAACTTCGCTACTATATACAAACAATTAAATAAAAATTTCTTATCAACAAAATATCATGAAACATTCACATTTATATTTTACAATGCTTTTTAATACTGTTTAGTTTAAAAAGAAGTTAGCTAAAGGATTAAGTTATCTCAGCTGCTTTTGTCTACTATACTGTGTAATTGTCTAAACAATGTCACCAAAACCAACAAATATAGACACTACATTCATTGCCAAAACTTTTTTTCGATTCTAAGAATAACATACATTTCATAATAATTATTTTATTTATCTCGTTCCTGATGTCATCTTATTGATTAATCATGAAAATTAATTTTAAAATTAACATATTGAGAATGTTCCTTTCAAATATTAATGTTTGTTTTGACTTGCATAGTTACCATAATATCATCTTAAATTAAAATATAACAATTAATATTTTTATTACCTAATTGAGCAGGAACAACATTGTTTAATCCTGCTCCAAAAGCACCAGTAGCAAGAACAGGTCCCGAAATGGGATTTACAACTGGGGGATTAGCAGGTTGTACACTTGGCAAATTCCTAGCCACATCAGTTAATCTATTACCTCCAGCACCTAAACCCATTCCAATACCTTTAAGTCCTGTAATAACCATTATAGTAAATACATTATAATAACATAATACCAAATTCTATGATCTCTGAATATACCTTCTGGTAACTTAGGTGGCATATCAGGTTCATTAGCTCTATCAAGTCTAACTGTCATACGTCTATCATATAGCTGTTGGTTGTGTAACATAGATATAGCTTGAACAGATTCAACCGGATGATCATATTCAACAACACCAAAACCTCTTGATTTACCATCTTTATCTTTACCCAATTCAACATGTAATACTTTACCAGCTAACTTGAATACTTCTAATAATTTTTTTTCATCAACTTTATAATCAAGCTAAAATAAAAAAAAAACATTTAAAACAAAAAATAATCATAAATATGCTGCTATTATATGACCATACATTTGCTACAAAAATTCTTGTTACTAAAGGTCCACTAATACCAAGAGATTCCAAAAATTGAGCACTTAATCCATAGGTATTACCAAATTTATTTTCACTATTTCCTCCATTTCCTCCACCAATACTACCTCCAGTATGAGATGATATATTTTGTCTAACAGAACTGAGTCTTGGTTGATCCCTAAAACGATCATCACGATTTCTCTCATTATTACGACCAGTAGATAATCTCCCATATTTGTCACGTTCAACATCATAATCCTAAAAAATACATTAATTAATTAAGCAACTACAATAAGTGGAAAAAAATTAATCCTTATAAACAAAAGTAAACCTCTTTGACAACCAGTTTACGTCCTTTTATGTCAAATCTATGCATTTTTTCAACTGCTACTTTGACTGATTCAGAATCTTCAAACTCAACAATACCACAACCTCTTGGTTTATCATTTTCATCAGTAAAAAGTTCAACATGGGCTACTTTACCAACTTCAATTCTAAATAAATCCTTTAAATCTTGCCATCGAAAATCATATGGAATGTTTGAAACATAAATTCTTCGATCAGCAACTTTTTTATTCCGATCATTACGATCACGACTACGATCTCGGCTATCCGAATTTATACGATTAGGACGATCAGATCTTCGATTTCTATCACGCTCTCTACTCTTTTCTCTATCACTGTTCAACATTAAATTTCTGAAATAGGAATAATTTATGATAAAATGTGAACCATTGAAAACCTTATTAATATACTCACATTCACTTATGAATATGAGTAAATATTACTATAACATGATACAAATAAATTAATGAGATGAAAAAGTACAACGAATTGATTCACACTACGATGTATAAACGTTAATACTCACTCTTCGCTTTTCATAACTGAAAATTTCAGAACTTTGAGGTTGTAGGATTAAATTGATCAAGTTTTAAAATTAAAAACTGGTATTGTTTATTGCAAATACGATGAGTTGATAATTTTTATGTCACTTGACGAATACAAGTTTTTTCGACGAAAAAAATTTGATAATCTGAGAAAACCAAAGCCGATAGCGTCTTCAAAATGGCTGAGACCGGTAACAAATATCTCACCATTCAACATTGCGTAGAATCTCCATGACATTAGTACACTTATATTGAGAATTTAAAAATATTATGTATTAAAAAATTTTATGTAATGTGCTCCTTAGAAATCCGTCATTAAAAAAAAATTACGTTATACAGTTCTCAAGTTATTATTAAAAAAGTCATTTGAGTGAATTTTTTCTCAGACTCTACAAACTCTATATACGATGCCCCTATAGTGTCTACGACGGATCTGTGATGTGGACACCCGAGTATGGATGAAAATTTTTAGAAAATATTCGTCAATTTGTGCAGAAGCTGCGCGTTCAGAACCCGCGATCAAATAATTTGTGCAACTTTTAATTACGCCAGTATTAATTAATTAAAGTCGGGTGCTGGCTAAACTTCGATTGCGATTTTCTCGTGGAAATACTGAAAATTTCCGAATTCTGACGACTCCATTGAGTTGCGCGTAATTTGTGCATCAAGAATATGTAGTCCTAATTGAGAAAAAATCAAAGGGTGCGGAAGGAACGATAATAATTAGATTTATAATAACTTTGGTTTGCCGCGCATGCGCAAACGCTCACGGCGCGCGGCGCGGCGCCTCCGACCTACGAACGCGCGGAAGAACGGTAGCATGGTGTATTACAGTGCCATAGCAACACGAAAAAGAATATTTATAGTCCACACAACAATTCTCATCGACATACACAAGTCTTTAGGAAATTGATTTTTCCTTGGTAGTTAGTTTTCCTGAAACAGGAGGCTATTATATATGGTGTCGAGGCAGAAGGGGGAATCGTGCTTGCGAAGAAAATAAAATAGAATATTTTACGACGACTAAATCTATGAGAATTCTTTTCAAGAGTTCTCATCGATTTAGTACAAAGCTTTTCGAGAAAATGATCTTCCCTCGTAGTTTTCCCGACACAGGTAGCGAAGCCGACGCGGCGTCGAACCCGAATTCGGTATTATGGCTTGCATTGAAAGAAAATAGATTCTTTTTTACGAGACTAAATCTATGAGAACTGTTCTCGAGAGTCCACTGAACAATTCTCATCCATTTAGTAAACGGGTTTTCCGAACAATAATTTCATTTTCAGCTTTCCCGACGAAGGTGGCTACGCCGGTGTCCAAACAGAATGCGCTATCGCTTTTCCGTAGGAAATGAAATAAATTTTTTTGCGACAACTAAATCAATGAGAATTGTTCTTTAGAGGCCACTGAATAATTCTCACACATTTAGTAGTCAGTTTTTCGGGAAAATGAATTTCCCCTTTAGCTCCAACGACACGGGTGGCTAGTCCGGTGGCCGTGCGGAATCTCGGTTTCAGGAAATCAGAAAGTCATTAAGAAAGACATAAGATGCTTGTAAATGACTAAAAATCTACAAGAATTTTTTTGTTGCGTTTTCTGGAGATTGCTCATTAATTTAGAACACATTTTTTGGAAATGGAATTCTTTCATGCAGTTTTCCAGACTTCAAGGGTGAACCGGTTGCTAAAATGAACAATGGATTGATTGAAATTAGTCATTTCTTAGACAAAAATTGTCTAAAATAATTTATATATGTGAAATTGGAGAACTTTTCGCTTGAAAATTCTTTAATTTCAGCTATAATTCTTGTTGGATTAGTTCAAGAATAAAATATTCATGTTTTTCCTGACATTTTATAAGGGCCTCAAGTAATCCTATGTGACATTTCGATTGAAAAAAAGTGCTATTTTATAATTTTTTAAATCGAGCGAAATATAAAATTATTTGTTAGATTGACTTTTGAAAATCAAGAGATTTTGTACTCTTACCGAAAATCAAAATTGCATTCACACTCAAATTTTGATATTTTATTTGAATTCTCTCTAACACGGGAAATAATTATTTTTTGCAAAAATTTGTCTTAGATGTCTGAAAATTATTGAGTTTACATTTTAATACTTTCATTAATTTTGATTACTCATAATTCTAACTACTAGCTTATTGCTAGCGCCGTGATGTCTTATTCAAAATGAGCTGACGATCATCGCATATTATGGATTTGTCCATGATTTATATTACTAAAAGAAACTATGTTAAAATGACTTAAGAAGGCAACAATTATTGAACCATGCTCTGTTGAAAAACTTTTAGAAGATCCCTGTATCAAAAGTTGTAAAATTATATTCAATTTTATAAAGCTTGTTCTTTATATATATATATATATATATATATATATATATATATATATATATATATATATATATATATATATATATATATATATATATATATAATATTGATAAAAATATTATTCCATTTTTTTCAATCGTCTTTTCTCTTTCCTTTCTTCCCATCTCTTATATACTGCTCCATTTTTCCTTTTTTCCCTTTTCTCCTTTTATTTTCCTTTTCCTTCTACCTTTCCAAGCCCGTCATTGCTACGTGATAATGGCTTAAGTTACGCGGTAACCTGACAGCAGATAAAGCCAATCAAACAAGAAAAGCAGACGATCAAAATCTAAGTGAATACACTGCTATTACACGCGCTAAAAACTTATAATAGTAATGTTTTTTTCAGTTCTTATGTTTTTGTTCATTCCAAATTTTTTAATTGAATTTGATATATAAATGAGTGCTGCTTTTAACCCATGTAAAGTAGTTTATACTAATTGATTTTTATATAGTTATATACGAAGGCTCCTTCCTCTCAAGAGAGGAAAACTGCAGTATCTTTGTGTAAGTATTTTTGTGGTTAGAGTTAGCAATTGACAAATCCTTGATTGTTAGTCTATAATGTAATTCATCTTTGATTTTAATAAGTCATTTAATTTTTTACAGGGTTTAGATGTATTAATTTAGTTAAACGGCTTCATGTATCTTTAGAAACGTTGTTACACACAATTACTATTATGACTAGAAATAAAACAGATTCTAATAGAAGACAAGGATTAGCTTGGGAAAATAATTTGTATTTCAAACTCCTTACAATTATTGATCAGGAGAATGTGTCAGTAGACGCCAACACTCATTGTATTTCTAGTGAGCTATTAATCAAATGGAGCGAAGCAGTTTTTCCTATTTATGGAAAAAGAAAAGCCTATCAAGATAAGGTCAAATTATTTTTAGAATACTATTTTGAAGCTGTTGCAGCAGATATTCCAAGTGAGCTTTTATCTTTGTAATTGATTACATTTTTTCCACAATATTGAAGCCTAAATAATTAATCATAATTTTTTTTTAAGAGTTAAAAAATCAAGCCAATTTAGTTAATGCGCCTGCACTACAAAGCTGGTTGGATTACAAAGAGAGCCTGGGGAAATGTCTCTGTTTACCAAGTATAAGGCAGTGCGTTGAAAGGTTTATGCAAAATCCTGACGACAAACTTTCTGCAACTGTGAAAAAATACATTTTACATCAAATGTACGGATTGAGAGAAAATGATACCATAGAGGAATGGCAAATGAAAAAATTAAATAACTGCTTGTGGTTTAACAGAAATGAAATTGAAAGAGTCTGCATTCTGTCTGTAACACACGAGATACCGTTGTAAATATTATAATTCCGAGAAAACGTGAAATCTCAGTTAACAAAATAGTATTAATAGTAATTTAACTCAAGAGCTTTTCAATTAGATTTTTTGCCGTTTTTTATTTATATCGGTGAATTAAACGAGTGCAGTTGATTTTTGTAAACGTGTTAAGTGCATGCTGGGATGCAGTGTTCTATTTGATTTTGTGTCTGGCTGTATTTAATATTATGGAACCGGCAGTTCCATGGAAAGATTTATTGGAAGTTTTGAAAGTGGTTGACGTTTTTAACGAAAAAGGAGAATTGTTAAAAGAGAATGATGAGAGTGGAGTGTGGCAAAAAGTTTCAGATAAAATAGGCTTAAAAAAAACAGCTCATACGATATACATTGATGTGCAACAAAATAAGCATAATTTAAAAGATGATTTGAAAGCTCAGGGCAATATTAAAGTAGTAAATCAATCTTACAATTATGTACTGCCCAAAGATGATTTTTCTGAAAGCGAAAAAAGTGAAACTGATGACTTAATGATGGATGAGGAGTATATACCAAGAAAAATTTCCAATTCTGGTAAATTCCAACCAGTAAATATGAAAATACATTTGGATAAAAAAGAGTGGGCACAAATAAAGCCAGACAGAGTTTTTTACAAAGATGGTAGAGAATATCTAGTCTTGAAGAAAGATTGGACGGATATGGTAGTTGAAAAAGTGTGTAATGATACAAAAATTAATTGTAATTATGCTTTTACAAAACATCAATTTTATGTTGGAAATGATTTTCCTTTTTTCAAATTTTATGGCAAGTGTACGGAATGTTTCAACGATATTGAAGGAGAATGTGCTCGTACTTTTTCTCTTGACAGTGAAAGTATTTCTATCGATATTCATACCTTTGACAGTACAACAATTGCTCACAAAAGGAAACGCCAACTCAAGAACACGCGAAGGAAAAAAGCTAAACTAAAAGCACGATATGTAAAAGCTGGTGTTTTTCGTCTTGAGGCTGCGAATGATTTATTGGAATATTCTGATTTAAAACCAGCTTACTTGAATAATTCAGTTACGATCAGAAAATTGAGACAGGAAGCAATTGATGAAGCTTTAAAACTAACTGGTCCTAGTGCAGTCTTTGATTCTCTCTTGTATTTGAGTGAAAATGGGTTTTCCAAAATCAGACAAGTTAGTAAGAAACCATTTGTCGTGAATTTTGTTACTGATGATCAAATACAATTATGGAAAGATCTAAAAAAAGTTAAGAAGCTTAGGGTGTCAATCGATGCATCTGGTGGATATGCCAAAAAAGTAATTGTAGCATCAGATGAAACATCTGGTTACATATTTCTCTACAGGATGGTTACAGATCACGAATCCAAAGTTGCACCACTGTGGCAGATGTTGAGCGATGCACATGACACCAATACGATCCAATATGCTCTGAGTCTACCTATCTCTCTTGGTGCTCCTTTGCCAGATGAAGCTTCAACAGATGGTTCTCTAGCTATGTTGAATGGTACAAGCATGGCGTTCAACGATTGCCCGTACAAAAATTATTTAGATACTAGCCACAAAATTTTAATGGGCGAAAGCTTGAAACGAAAACCATGTCGTTTAACAATGGACTAAATTGTCGACTGAATCTGACAAGATTGTAGCACAAGTACAAATGCCAATAAAAATGGAAACAATTGAAACTGATAAAAATTCGGTAAATAATGTAAGGCAATTGAAAGAACTCTCTTTTCTTATTTTAAATGGAATAATTAATGATACGGTTTTATATGATAACAAAAAAAGGAAATTCATAAATATATGTGCCTTCGACAGTGTTTCAGAAGTTTTGATTTGTTCTGCAAGTATCGATAGTGTATATAAGATCTTATCTGAAGGGGAATCATGTGAATATTTAGAAGCTCTTACAAGTTTTAATAAAGATGTTTCTCTGCTGAATGATTTTTATGAAAATAGAGCAAATATATTGTACCCAAGCGTGATCAATTCAATCTATAATCGAAACAACCCTAATTTACATAATTTTGATGGAAGTATAATTGACTGTCAGATTAATGTCATAGATTTGGTTCAGATTCTACTTAAAAACAGTGAAACTTCTTTGATAACATCTACGAAACAATGTGACGAATGTGGATATCGAAATACACCGAAAAACTTTAATACATTAGTGTTCCCTTTTAGAGAGACTGCAAAAATTATAAATAGGAAAGACGGAATGCAAAATCTGCAAGAATGTTTGAATGATATTTTTGATGAACCGGAGTTAGATGCCTGTCCAAAATGTCAGAAAATTACAAAAAAATTAATCTACGATATTGGAGACATTCTGTTTCTCGAAACCGAATTTATTTTCACTAGCTCAGAATTACACCACACTATCAACAGTTCATGCCCTGAAACCATTTTGATACGTCGTAGTAGATATAAATTAATAGGTGTCGTAGAAATCGAAGAAATCAACAAAGATTTGAACCATTATAGGGCCTACTGCCTGGTAAACAATAGATGGATCAGAAAAGATGATTTATCTACATCAGCGAAATACATTGTTCATCTACCTGACAACATCAAACTATCAATGGTTGTGTACGCAAAGGTGAACGCGTAGGTGTACGAAAAATCAATTGAAAAAGTATATGAGTAGCGATTCTTGAATGAAATTTGTCTTACATAATTCATTTCATACTGGTTTCTTTTTTCAGGTATCAAGTAGTGGCTGATGAGTTGATCCATTCAATTTCCATTTGCAGCAACTGGGGAGAATAACTACGATGCAGAAACTCTTAGATTCTGAAAATTGAGACACATATATTGGTATAAATAAATCAGTATCCTTATCCAAATGCAAATTTCGAAAATAGTTATAAGCAACTTCATTACTATTAATTATCTTGTTAATGTAGCTACATGTACGCTAAGTAAATTAAATAAAAATCTATCAATACTCGAGCGGCTCTATGGAAATTCTGTTTTTTCTTGGATTTGGTGCAGCAAATGTGATTGTCCTGGAATCATTGCTTCATTGTTGGGTACACTGATTGACTAAGGCTGGATGTCCGGGCCTAGTGGAATCTTCTTGAACTGTTGATTAAAAACATGATGTAAAAAATTCAGTATTCATTCCTAGGTATGAGTTGCAACTATAGTTATCAGAAACCTTGAGTTGGTAGTGAAAATATTAATATTCTTGGTTATAAATCACACGTATCATTTCTTTTTTTTTTTCATTTCTAAAAATATCAAACACTCTCATGTGAATATAATGTTTATCTGGATACTAAGCATTAATACAATACTAATGTTGTGTAAAAATTACATTTATACGCAAGTAAAGTCATTACAGGCATGCTCTGAGTACATGAAGTAGTTTCAAAATAGCTTGCTGGCGCAATTTCAATGTACTTTTTTCAGTGTACAGTTAATGATTAATTGATTGATAAGTTATTAAATTAAAAAGAATACATACTCTAAAAGATTCTTCTGGCAAATTTACAACAGCCATCAGCGTATTGTCTCCCTGACACTCCTAGCAAATTAAATTAGAGCAGTTGCAGTTGCAATAACAGCTGTACTGACAGTCAGCGCCGCTCGCTGGTAGTTAGAACGACGTTGTGCGCATGTGCCGCGCGCAATGATTATTGATCAAATGCCAATTATATTTTTTATCGTTCCTTCCGCACCCTTTGATTTTTTTTCAATTAGGACCACATATTCTTGATGCACAAATTACGCGCAACTCAATGGAGTCGTCAGAATTCGGAAATTTTCAGTATTTCCACGAGAAAATCGCAATCGAAGTTTAGCCAGCACCCGACTTTAATTAATTAATACTGGCGTAATTAAAAGTTGCACAAATTATTTGATCACGGGTTCTGAACGCGCAGCTTCTACACAAATTGATGAATATTTTCTAAAAATTTTCATCCATACTCGGGTGTCCACTTCACAGACCTCTCTACGACGTACATAGAAACTGCTAATTACAAATAGTTTCAGTTTTAGTTTACTAGATGGCGGTGGGTCTCTTAGCTGAGACTCCGGTACAGCGATGAGCATTGGTCACCCATCCCAAACTTCTTGTTCTCCTATTCATAACGCATCTAGGTCTGTTGTACACTCGTAGCTGTTCTATGATTATACCGTGTCCGAATTCCGCGTTTCAAATTAGTTTTGTTTAAAAGAGGGAAAATAAAAATATTCTCAATTGTACAATATACAGGGTGTCCAAAAAGTAACGATACACCTGAGAAATTTTCTAAGCCGGTTATTTTTTTAACCGGGTGAAGGTTGTTCTTGAAGTAACTTTTTACGAGGAATCCGATGGTAACCTTGGATTTGACCTTGAACCTCATTTTCAAGGTTATTTTGAGGTCAACCTCATTTTTTTAAATGGAAACCCCTATTTTTTATGGCGGAATCGGAAAGAGCGGAAAATTTTACGTCCAGATATGTATTGAGGTATGAGGTTGAGGTAACCCCTAGAGGTCAACTGGAGGTCAAAGTATGAATTCTTAAAAATCTCGCGAATTCAGTGGTTAAACAAAACAAACAAAAGGATAACCCCAGGTAACTTTCAACGGTGCTCTTTAATTTGTCCTTGAACCTCATTTTCAAGGTTATTTTGAGGTCAACCTCATTTTTTTTAATGGGTACCCCTAATTTTTATGGCGGAATCGAAAAAAGTGAAGACTCTCACGTATGGATGAGTTGAGGTTTGAGGTTAATGTGACCTCTAGGGGTCAGATGAAGGTCGAACTGTGGCTTTGTAATAGTACCGGGATTTTAGTGGTACAAGGAAGCAAATGAAGGTCATGGAAACCCCCATTTTCGACAGCGGCAATCGAAAGAGCGGAAAATTTCACATCCAAATATCTACTTAGATCATAAGTCAAGGGCGAACTTAAAGTTTAAGGTCATTCGAAGGTCATCCAAACTTAAAGACGCCCTAAAATTTTTTAAAGTTTTTTTCATAATGGAGAAGGGTATTTATTTAGTAATTGCCCATCGGCGATCCGTAACCTTGAATTTAACCTTCAACCTCATTTTCAAGGTTTTTTCAAGATCAATTTTTTTTACTTTTAGCGTTACCCATGAGCAACGACGTGGACGTAGTAAAATCTGTCCCCTTGGGGTGCTTCATTTTCGTGAGTTCCCCTCGCCTCTCACGATCGGGGTGCTTGATTTTCGTGAGTTCCCCTCGCCTATCAACAATGATTTTTTACGCTTATTTTCTTAATAACTTGATTAGCCGGTTAAACTTTTTAAGGTTACTATCCCATACCTATTCATTGAAAATCCACTAACAATTTCACTTGGTTCTATCCTTAGGAAATGTACTATGCCTAACTTTATCGTTTTGAGCTTATTCTTCGGGACAATTGCATTTTCAAAAATTAATATTTAAAAAAGCAACATATTTGAAAAGATTTTACCATTCGAAAATCTCCATAAAGCATTAGTGCATTAGTCGGACTGTAGTAGATTTTTTTTGTAAAAGTACTCAAATTATAATTTTCATTTTTTGAAAACATTTATTTGGGTTGCAAACTTTTTGTTTTTAATTCTGATTGATTTTTGAGTAAATTTCGATTCGCTGACTTAAAATGGAACGCCTCACTGAACGAGAAAGAATATTACTTCTTATGATGAGAGGCTGGAGTGGAGTAGAAAGATCTTACAGGGCAGTGAGAAATCACCCCGATCGTGAGAGGCGAGGGGAACTCACGAAAATAAAGCACCCCAAGGGGACAGATTTTACTACGTCCACGTCGTTGCTCATGGGTAACGCTAAAAGTAAAAAAAATTGATCTTGAAAAAACCTTGAAAATGAGGTTGAAGGTTAAATTCAAGGTTACGGATCGCCGATGGGCAATTACTAAATAAATACCCTTCTCCATTATGAAAAAAACTTTAAAAAATTTTAGGGCGTCTTTAAGTTTGGATGACCTTCGAATGACCTTAAACTTTAAGTTCGCCCTTGACTTATGATCTAAGTAGATATTTGGATGTGAAATTTTCCGCTCTTTCGATTGCCGCTGTCGAAAATGGGGGTTTCCATGACCTTCATTTGCTTCCTTGTACCACTAAAATCCCGGTACTATTACAAAGCCACAGTTCGACCTTCATCTGACCCCTAGAGGTCACATTAACCTCAAACCTCAACTCATCCATACGTGAGAGTCTTCACTTTTTTCGATTCCGCCATAAAAATTAGGGGTACCCATTAAAAAAAATGAGGTTGACCTCAAAATAACCTTGAAAATGAGGTTCAAGGACAAATTAAAGAGCACCGTTGAAAGTTACCTGGGGTTATCCTTTTGTTTGTTTTGTTTAACCACTGAATTCGCGAGATTTTTAAGAATTCATACTTTGACCTCCAGTTGACCTCTAGGGGTTACCTCAACCTCATACCTCAATACATATCTGGACGTAAAATTTTCCGCTCTTTCCGATTCCGCCATTAAAAATAGGGGTTTCCATTTAAAAAAATGAGGTTGACCTCAAAATAACCTTGAAAATGAGGTTCAAGGTCAAATCCAAGGTTACCATCGGATTCCTCGTAAAAAGTTACTTCGAGATCAACCTTCACCCGGTCAAAAAAATAACCGGCTTAGAAAATTTCTCAGGTGTATCGTTACTTTTTGGACACCCTGTATAGCTATTGTTTGGTCATCAGCATATTAAATTGTTGTTAGCCTCGGGAAGTACTGATTATATATTTTCAAGTACAATTCGATATGAAGCCTAGTAGTAAAAGTAAAATTCCAAAGAAAGAGGTATTGTAACAAATATAATTTATATTCTCCTACTATCTTTTAAATAATTAAGAAAAATGTAAACATATCATAAATTGTCAAATCCAAAATAGTTTATTCTTAATCGAGCTCTATAAATTCATATAGGCCATATGGTAAAGGCTATAGCGGGTTAACAATGTTAAAATTGCATAAGAATGAATCGTTATCGGGAATCAGCCATCCGAAAGAGCATATTTTGAGGCTCTCTCATCTAAATTTTCAGACCCCTAGGTGGCAATAGAGTGCCACAATCGTAAAAAACTGGTTTTTATGAAAATAATTTCTCCTGCTTTACTGTGTAACCGGCTGCCGTTTAACCTGTAATTCCCCTTGAATATACCTACTTGATGGCTAAACTACGCCTAGTTATCTATGTGCTCGAAGCACGTGAACCTACCTTGCCCGGGAGTGCGCCTGCGCAGCGTCTTCTCGCCAATCCGAGTTGGGTTCCCCAACTCGCCACTTGGCGGCGCTGTCGCTCCTTCTTAGCAGCGCTCCTGCGGCTGCTGCTCGAAACTATGTTGGCGATTCTCGTCTACCGATATCCGCGTGATCCGTGCTACGCTACCGGCTTATTCGAATCGAAAGTAAATAAACGCGAACTCCGGACAAAGGAAAGACAAAACGATGATTTGATTCAATAAACACTATCGTTCACTTTATTTAGACAAACCAGAATACACGGGGGATTTGCCGAGAGTCTTGCGCACGCAGTTGCAGTTGACAATACTCTGGGTGGGAGAGAGAGAGAGAAAACCGCGATCGCCGCGAACTAACCGCTCGCGCGCAATAAACACTTTCTTCGCGCACGCTGCGCGGGATCGCACGCTAACGACAATAAAGGGAAGGTGCACCTACCGCGAGAACGATGTGGATACGGTGGCCAACCGTATCCGAATTACTAGCCGCTGATTAGCTGCTTCGCCGCTCGCTGCACTGCCGCTATTACTGTTGTAGTTGTTGTTGCTGCTACAGTTGTTGCTGTTGTTGTTGTTGCTGCTGCTGTTGCT